AGCATTACAATGAGGGCCCCAAACTCAAGTTCACCTAGGGCCTCTAAATTCCTAACTCCGCCACTGATAACCAGATGTCCCTGTTTGTCCCAGCAGATTTACCCCAAACCACTGATTTGTCCTATAAGAAATGTCCGAGTTATCCCCGTTTTTGACCAATCTGATCGTCGAAAAACAGTAACGAGTAGAATATATTGTCATTTGTTGAGCTAAAATACAAAAAAACTGCTTGGAAATGACGTAAAAATGCACCAATAAGAGTCTATACTGACCCACAGTCGAGAACGGATGATGTATTATGCTCTTTTCACAATTTTATTCATGCAAACATCTCAAAACTGGTGTGTCCCACTTTTTAATTTTGGTCCATTTATATAAAGAGTCCAGATAAATAAACGGTGCGGAGTGTGAGGAGGTCGCAGCTCGTCCGGATCGGGGGCCCGGGGGTTTGTGCGTCGTACCTTGCAGCAGCAGACATGTCCCCCGCAGAGCAGAACACGGCGTAACCACTGACCCAGAGCCCGTAATGACAGAGTGTAGTGCGGTGATTAGCCCGATCAGTGCTCGCTGGGGGCCCCCCGGAGCCTGTCGCCGGAGCCGTAATGCGCCCGTCTCCGTCTCCGTCCCTGGTTGACATTCATGGGCTTAAACTTGTCGGGATGATGAAGTGGCAGCGTTCCGAACTGTAAATTGCCTCGTTTCAATTGAGAAGAGAGTTCCCCTTGGGTGTGCCCAGGTCCCGACGGGCTGGCCTTGAACACAACAGCATGTTGTACATCCATATAAAAAAAGAGAAAATATGGGAGCACTTTCGTCTTTATGATGCGGAGATTAATCTGTCATCAGGGCCGATTATAAATCCTCCGCGGCGCTTTGGAAAATACTGTTTTAGCGCACTTTGGTCTGTATTTTATTTTTATATTCCCAATAAACATAAACCATCACAAAGGGCTAATGTTCTCATCAATATTATTACAAAACGATCGTAAATCTATAGCCTTGTTAAAATTTAAACTCCATTCTTCATTTTGGCTTATCCAACCGGCGCGCGCGTTATTCCGTCTCCACTAAAATAAAATATTCCCTCATTTTCAGTCACTCCGCGCGTTTATGACACGAGTAAATTCCTGGTGGTGTGAATCTTGAGGCCTGTTTTTCTTCTGCTTCAGTGAAATCCCGGGCTCATCCTGAGAGACTCCAGTCTAAACAGAAACAGTGCGCGCGCTTGTTTAGCGCTATGCAAATCAGCGCGCCGCGGGTCAAATTAACATTTTTAATTAAAATATTAGCGCCGAACAAACACGGAAAAAAACACACTAATGATTAAAAGATCTTCATACAAGGATGGAGACTCAAAGGAGGACAAAATACACAATTCTGTCGGTTTGAAAATAAACGATAACACGATTGTTGAAAAAACTCGTGCAACACTGAGAATAATGCTGATGATTTGACTATTTTTATATTAATTACTATACAATGAACTGTTACTATCAACTTTTCTACAATTGGAACTAGTAATAATAAAATGGCATGGAGTTTTAGTGGGCTACTGTAAAATAAAAGCCATGACAGATCTAAATATGTTCGTATGTGTTTTTACGTCCTTCACTAAATTAAACGACAATAATTTAAAAAAATGCAATGTTAAATTCTATTCAAAAATAATAAAAATACATCTTGAGATATTTAAAAATGTGAAGGTAACATTTCATTTCAAGCAGATGACAGTTTGAGCCTGACACGCTGCGGTTTGTTGGGAAAAGGTTCGTGGAGATTACGGTCTGGAGCGCCCTCTGGTGGCCAAGTCAAGAACAACTTTCTAGAGCCTCAATGAAACAGTAAGACAAATTCTAGGCTAGTTTCTTTTATTTTTTTCTGATGCGTTTATTCAAATGTGTTAATTATAGTCAGTGTCGGGGAGTAACAGATTACATGTACCGGAGTTAAGTAATCAGAGTACAAATTATGAGTAACTGTATTCAGTTACAGTTACTGTTTCAGTGAGTGGTAATTGGATTACAGTTACTTTGTTGAAATAAATGGATTACATGGCGGGATTTTCCTGTTTTCACATTTTGGGCTAAACCAGGACTAAACCAGAACTAAACCAGGACTAAACTAGGACTAAAACCGGATCTAAACCAGGAATAAACCAGGACTAAACCTGGACTAAACTAGAACTAAAACCAGGTCTAAAGCAGGAATAAACCAGGACTAAACTAGGACTAAAACCAGGTCTAAAGCAGGAATAAACCAGGACTAAACTAGGACTAAAACCAGGTCTAAACTAGGACTAAAACCAGGTCGAAACCAGAACTAAACCAGAACTAAACCAGGACTAAACTAGGAATAAAACCGGATCTAAACCAGGAATAAACCTGGACTAAACTAGGACTAAAACCAGGTCTAAACCAGGACTAAAACCAGGTCTAAACCAGGACTAAACCAGGTATAAACCAGGACTAAACTAGGACTAAAACCAGGTCTAAACCAGAACTAAACCAGAACTAAACCAGGACTAAACTAGGACTAAAACCGGATCTAAACCAGGAATAAAGCAGGACTAAACCTGGACTAAACTAGGACTAGAACCAGGTCTAAACCAGGACTAAACCAGGAATAAACCAGGACTAAACTAGGACTAAAACTAGGTCTAAACTAGGACTAAAACTAGGTCTAAACTAGGACTAAAACCAGGTCCAAACCAGGACTAGACTAAATCTAAACCAGGACTAAACTAAATCTAAACCAGGAATAAGGTAAACCAAACAAGTAATCCAAAGTATTCAGATTACTTTACTCACTTTAAGTAATTTAATGGATTCTGTTACAAACTACATTTTGGTGTATGTAATCTGTAATCTGTAGGGGATTACATTTTAAAAGTCACCTTCCCAGCACAGATTATCGTGATGGTGCCATAAAAGTGTCCGTATGTTAAAGTTCCCAGAGCTGGAGTTGTGTTTCTGTTTTGTTTCATTCACGCACAAACCCTACACATTAAATTCTTCTCTCAAAAAGAAAACGCTCTGATCCACCTCGAGACGTGCTTGAGATGTGCTCCACTGCGTTTTTAAACTCCATACACTTTCACTAGAATCAACTGGATGATTTCAGCGCCGAACAAAGAGTAAAACTTAACTGTTAATTGAAAACTATCACTTGATGACATCACTGTAAGAGAATTTAAGTAATTTATCCTCCACATTGACTCACAAAAGCTGTATTTACACCATGATCTTCTCTTTGCACATCATTATTATAAACTGTGGCGTATTACTGACTAACTGGAACCTACTGGTCTTCATAGTCTCACCACACTTGCTTTATAAACCTCCTCGTTTGGAAGTGTAAGTAAAGGGGCTTGAGCGCTCAAAGATTACACTATGTTCACTTTCTGAAATCATACTATCGGAATTTTAATTATAAGTGGCACTTTTTTCACGATTTGGGTGTTTCCTGTGACTTATATATTAAAATGTTGACAGTGAAGCGTGGAGAGGCTCTAGTCTTGTGTGTGAGTCTCTGCTGCTCCTGTTCCTCCTGTACCACTGTCACTTGGCTCTGCTGCACATGTCTCCTGCAGAAAGAGCCTCTGTTCTGTCTGTATCATGTCAGTCGATCGCACCGTTACTTCTGCACCACTGAACGATTTAACATTTAAACAAACTTATAAAGACGAAGACTGAGAAGACTGAACACAAATGCCCCCAAAAAGAAAATCAGATTTTGCAGATTACAAACTGCAAGTCGTGAAATCTGCAGCTGAAAACGGAAATCGAGCAGCAGAAAGAAAGTTTGGCACTTGTGTCAAACTTGTGACACCGGGGGGATGAACCATGCAACTCTCCTGAAGTCGCTGGACGGATGGACAAAGCCTGGACTTCAGTGACACAGAAACCATCCTGTCGGGATTCAGAAAGACCAGAATAATTCTAACTGGAACTGATGCTGAGTCTGACGACAGCGACACAGAAGAGGAAGTGTCGCTCTGTTTACCTCCAAGTTGTTCAGAAGTGACACCGAGGATGAAGAATTGAATGGATTTATTGATTTGGAGTGAGATGGAGAGTTTGTTAAACTTGTTCTGTTCTGTTGTTTATGTTATAGTTTATCTGAAGAACTGTTCATATGTGACGTTAACAGTCTGTTGTTCTCTCTTCTATTGTTTTTACTAGAACTTTACACAGGAAATGTCGATTACTGGTCTCTAAATTTAGATTTATAAAATAAATTTCCACCTAAAAATGCGACTTATATATGTTTTTTTCTTCTTCATTATTCATTTTCTGGCTGGTGTGACTCTGGAGTGACTGAAAAATATGGTATATTGACTTTTCAAGATGTGCTGGCCTGTATTATTGTTGGCAAATAAGCTTCCTGCTCAAGACGTCCAGTTGGTCTCCAGCCTTTTACTTCCACCCTTTTTTGGAGAAGCTGAAAACTTCTACAAAAATCACAAGGTGGAACAGAGTATTTTGAGCTTTGGAGATGTAAACAGACTAATAATAAAGAGTTACTCAAACATGTGTGCATGAAACAAAACATTAGTATAATAAAGTTAAATGTAAATAACTCTGAGTTTAACACGTACGTTGGACCTTCTGCAGACTCACTGTGGCCGACAGTGACGTCTTTAGGTTTCAGTTGCAGGTGCCCAGGTCAGATGTTTGTGGACGCTCACATCTCCTGTACGTGTGAGGCGCTGCTCAGACATTTAATTTACACATTTATGCAGCGCCTGGAAGTGTCTGAAAACTCCATCATGAAGACTTTGACCAATCCTCTGCTCTGAGAAAGCGCTGGGGATAGAAACTTTACACTTTTTAATCAACTTTATGGACTAATTTGGGTGATTTGTATGTTTTTTTGCATCCGTTTTTTCTTTTAAACTATGGACAGAGTTAATATTTGTGTCTGAAATAAAGAATAATAATAGTGTTTCATCAGTTTCATCATATCTATCTGAAATATAAAGCTTCTCAAATGACACAGCGTTGTTTAACTTCAAATGTTTTTATTGGAGTCTTGCTTACAACAGAAATCATTGTTTTAATACTTATAAAGTCCAGAGGTGAGTTTGTCCAGGTGCTTGTTGATGCTGTAACTAAATTCCAGTTCCAGTAGTGCAGTTTTTTTTTACTCCTCTGGCCCGCACAGACTGAGCAGGGCCTTCTGGTAGTCTCCCTTGGTGTGCTCCTGCAGGGGAAAAATCATGGGTTAGTGATCAAAATAACTGTTCAATGTCATTAAAGGTTCTATATCATTGTTTCCCAAAGACTGGGTCATGGCCCTCAGGTGGGTTTCAAGAGATTTTTTGAGTCGACAATGTCAACGAAACGTTTTGCACCAACAAAGGCTCCTGCAGTCGCATTTAAATGGCAGAGGAAGATGTAACCATTGCACAAAAAGTTGGACATCTGGACACACTGAAGGAAGGTAGAAGTTACGCGCTGTAGCAGAGTCCTGCACCGGGTTAAGTATGAGCGAATAGCTGCTGAAACGGGCGGGTTTTAATGTTCTGGAATTTTAAGGGCGGGTAGTGATTACACACGGGCAGGTCAAAAGTAAACCAGGACTAAACCAGATCTAAACCAGGTCAAAAACCAGGACTATTCTTGGACTTAAGAGAGAGAACACCGAAACAGGATGTCCGCAAAGTGCGATTGGGCGACGGTCGCTCATACCTTTGTGAGGTGTGGAGCTGAGCCGGTCCTTTCTCCTGTGGTCACCCCCGAGCTCGTCCCAACAATTAGTCCTGGTTAAGTCCTGGTTCAGTCCATATACGGCACAAAAGTTCAGCATCTTCTCAGTTACTTTGGTGAGAGTAGTCAGTTTAGTAAGTCTTTTAAGTAAGTCTTAATTTATATAGCGCTTTTCACAGAATTTTTTTTTTGTCACAAAGACGCTTTACAGAGCAACATGATTCATCCACTCTATACCTGGTGATGGTAAACTACTGTTGTAGCCACAGCTGCCCTGGGGCAGACTGACAGAAGCGCGGCTGCCATGTCAATCGGCGCCAACGGTCCCTCCGACCACCACCATCACACACACACCACTTTCATACTAGGCAATGTGGGTGAAGTGTCTTGCCACTAAGCATCAGTGCTAATTTCCACCTGTCGTCACTGGGCAGGTTCATTTATTTGATTGTATTTAACCCTCTCCAGGCAGGCGTTGCAGATTTGCAACAGCTAAATTCCAAGTACCTACTTACTCCACATCCATATTATATCAACTTTTTTTTACTCAGGAGCCTTTTCTCCCATCCATGCTGATAAACGTGGACGATGCAGACTGTGCAAGAATAGCTACATACAAACGGCCAGAAGTGCAAAATACTTTTTTTGTTTACAAAGGATAAAAAAGTCAAATTGTATATTACTACCCCATATTATAATTTTCCCCAAATATCAGATTTTTCCAGATACTAAAAATTTATTTGAGCCTGAGAGGGTTAACTGACTTTGACTATCAACTGTTCTTGGAGACCTGGAGCATGTTTTGTGTTGATGGGGGAAACCGGAGGAAACCCACCCAGACACGGGGAGAAACATGCAAACTCCACACAGAAAGGCCCGAGTGACACGGGGATCGAACCCGGAACCTTCTTGCTGTGAGGCATGAGTGCTAGCCACTCAGCCACCGTGCCGCCAAGTCCTGGTTCAGTCCTGGTTTAGTTCTGGTTAAGTTTTGGTTTAGTCCTGGTTTAGTCCTGGTTCAGTCCATATATGGCACAAAAGTTCAGCATCTTCGCAGTTATTTTGGTGAGAGTAACTTAAAAATGCTGCAAAAGTCGTGTAATGTTTTACATTTTAAATGCAGTAATATTGTAATGTAACTAATTACTGAATGAATACAAGTAATAAATAACACATTACAGTTTTAAAGTAACTTGCCCAACAGTGAATTTAGGCCAAGCTTTTTTGCAGTGTAATTAGAGATATGCAAAGGATCACACTTTTCCAATGCGGAAAAAGTCGTTTTAGATGAATATTGTGATTTAAAATGTCCAAATTCTAACATAATGACCCACAGATGTCACAGATTGTATCTTTAGAGACACACACAAGCACATGACTTCATCTTTGCTGCACTTACAGAGATGGTCCTGTGCAGGGACTGTCCAAAATTGGCTTTGAACTCTTGGCAGATCCTCCTCAGGTCCACCTCACAGCGGGACACGATGATCCTCGTCAACACCTTCTCTTTGGCTCCTTTGCTCTGCGTTCAGACAAGCGCACGTCAGCGTTTTTTTTTTTTTTTTTTTCCGCGGCTGATGCAACGCTGCGGTAACGAAACTTTCACCAACTTCAGATTTCTGTGTTCCTCCAGCGAAATCTCACTTTCACAGGAACAGCCGACAAACACACAATTCTGCTTTTGTGGCCGTCATGAAAAAACCACAGCTCAAAAAGACTCACGTACCTTCATGGCCTCGTGCAGGCGGTTGGCGAAGAACAGATGTTTGTTTTCAATGCACTGAACTGGAACGGAAAAAAAAAACAGAAGACGCTTAATGTTACTCTGCGCGTACAAGAAATATTAACACAGCGGCTTTGGTTTAACGAGGAGGACAAATCCGCCGCACCAGAACACGGGTTTTTCTGAGACTTTCAAAAGGTCGGCGGCGTGTGTGTTTGTCATCCGCAACTTTTAGTCTTTTTGGTCGCGCTCTTACTTCGACATCGTGCTGGGGGTGTTGTACACGTACAGTAGGTGCACGGTGGGATGTTCAGCAGTTACCATGGCGACACAACACGCACATCAGAGGAACGAGGACAAATCAAACTGTTGTCGTGCCAAATAAGTCCGCTGTTTGTGGTCAGTATCTCAGATTAAAGTGTAAGAAAGCCTCAGACGGAGCAGTGCCCCCAGTTAGCGTCACGCCTCAGCTGCAAAGTGTCTCTTGATTTAAACGATAATCACGACCTCAGTTTCATCACTGTAGACCCAATACTGACTTTGAAATTGATTAATTATAGATCAAATTTTAAATAAAAAGGTTTTATTTGTATATATATGTTTTATTTTAACATGTGAAAGTTCTGAAAAAGTAAAAAAGAAAGAAAGAAAGAGAGAGAGAAAGACAGACGCAGGGAGAGGCAGAGAGAAGGACACATACAGAAATAGACAGAGAGATGAACAGAGAGAGAAAGAAAGAAAGAAAGACAGGTGGGAGCGAGAGACAGAAAGAGAGAGAGAAACAGAGAGAGAGAAACACACAGAGAAAGAGAGTGAGAGAGAGAGAGAGAGAGAAAGACACAAAGAGAAAAAGAAAGAAAGAGAGAGTGAGAGAGAGAAAGAGAGGGAGAGCACGAGAAAGACGAGAGAGAGTGAGAGAGAGAAAGATGCACAGAGACAGACAGAGAGATAGACAGAGAGAGAGAGGGAACAAGAGAAAGAAAGAAAGACAGGTGGAAGAGTGAGAGAGAGAAAGACACAGAGACAGAGACAGAGAAACACATAAAGAGACAGAGTGAGAGAGGGAGACGGAGAGAGAGAGAGAGAAAGACATGGAGAGACAGAGAGGGAGAAAGAGAGAGAGAAAGACACAAATAGAAAAAGAAAGAAAGACAGAGAGAAAGATGCATAGAGAGGGACAGACAGAGAGAGGGAGCGAGAGAAAGAAAGACAGGTGGGAGAGCACGAGAAAGACGCAGAGAGAGAGAGAGAAAGACAGAGAGATAGAGAAAAAGAGAAAGTGAGAGAAAAACACAGAGAGAAAAACATAAAGAGAAAAAGAAAGACCAAGAGAGAGAGTGAGAAAGAGGCATAGATAGACAGACAGAGAGAGAGAGAGAAAGACACAAAGAGAAAAAGAAAGAAAGACAGAGAGAGAGAGAAAAAGAGAAAGTGAGAGAAAAACACAGAGAGAAAAACATAAAGAGAAAAAGAAAGACCAAGAGAGAGAGTGAGAAAGAGGCATAGAGAGACAGACAGAGAGAGAGAGAGACACTGAGAGACAGAGGGAGAGAGAGAAAAACACACGGAGAGAAAGAAAGACAGAAAGAAAGTGAGTGACAGAGCATTGATACTAGTTTGAGAATAAAATCATCTCTGGATTTTGATTCTTTAACGATTCTTTTAGACTGACCAAGTACAGGCACAATGTGAACCTAATCTGACTTGGTTGGTTAAAATAGTTAGAGAAAAAAAAGTGATTAGAGAAAATAAAAAGATATAATTGGCCATGCAGCTCTTTTCTAAAGCACAAGGACTTTCTACGTTTCAGTAAAAAATGAATTTACCCAAAACCAAGAAAGAGTTCTGCAGATCCCCTTTGACCTCCTTCTTGATGCTCTCCTGCATGTCGTACGGACTGTAGCTCTTGTACCGGTCAAACACTGTGACAAAAAACAACAAAACAGTCAGTACGGATCTGTGAGTTTGACGAAGAATAATGAGCTTGTCAAAAATAAAGTGGTGCAGTGCCTTTCTGGAGGTGAGGGACGCTCCTCTCCGTCATGATGGAGATCCAGGTGGGGACGTCAGTGCCTTTAATTTTCACTCCAGATTCATAAAGCGCCTGCGTTTGAAAAATAAAAAGGTTTGTTGTTTACTTTCCTTTTGTTTTCCAATAATATGATATATATTTTATACTTGATGCAGTGAACTCACCCTCGCGTCTTGATCGATCTTTTCATAATCGACCATGGGAGACGGGTCGGCTCTTTTTGTCTGCAGGAAACACACAATTATGGGATTAACATTAAGTTTTCATAAAGCTGCAACAAACGGTTATTTTTCATGGATTGAAAATATGTTTTATGTTTATGAAAATATACTGGTTTATTTATTTAACTTAAAAGGAATAAATAAATAAATAAAAGGGCAACACTTTATAATAAAGCTGCAAATCATTTGTAAATGTTTATTAACCAGTAAGTAATAATTTACTAAAAAATGACACACGTCGTTATTAGTACATGAGTACTTAATGATTAATAAACAGGTAAATGTTGTAAATTAAATAAAAAATTGTAAATTCAAATTAAATTAAATTCATCTTTATTCCGGACTCATGGTCCATTTTTAAAACAGAAAAGGACAGTGACACAAAACTCTAAACATTTATGTTTTTAAAAAACAGCCACATCAGTGTCTCCACATGTTGAACTGATCTTATTGCTCTGAATCTCATATTCGTGAGTCACATTATTATTTCATTGTCTGGATTTGTTCAGTCTGCAAATAAAACTGTACATTAAATTTCACTGCAGGCACCTGCAGTCTTTGATTTTTTTGTGATTAATGCAGAGATGTTCTGTGTACAACTGTGAACAATATGATTTAAACAATAACAACTTTACAGCATTTGTACAAGAACTAAATTTACACATAAGAGTTTTTACCTGAGCCCGAGAGGATTGTTCGTGGATGTTCCTAATTAAACATTTATGAATGTTATGAATGTTTAATTAATCAGTAATAACACTTTTTGTCCTGTCCATGTTTGTAAATGATTAAACACTTGTTACTGAGTAGGTATTTTTTTTAGTAAAATATTTTTTGTAAATACCCACACATTTTACAGATTTGCAGTTATGCTTTATTATAAAGTGTTAAATAAACACATTCATAATACAAGACATTTTTATTTAGTTGCTCCAGTCTAAATCAATAATCCTTCTACTTAAAGATTTCAGAATATGAAAAAACATATTAAATAAAATTAAATAATTTGAAGACGGCCTTATGATTAGTGACATTAGTTATATTTGGATAATAGTTCAGTACCTGGACGAGGGCCAGGAGCAGTTTTCCAAAGTTTCCAGAAGTGTCTCCAGCGATGTCTTTCTCCACCTCTTTTTTGAACACTGTAAAAATAAGATGTTTGTGAGTTACAGTTACATAATGTTATAACACGTTGGCATAAAACTATTCTGGTCTGTGCGGTCGCACTTACGCTCCCTGTAAACTTTCTTGATCTCCAGCAGCTCTGAGTTGGTACGAGAGCAGACGATCTCAATCAGAGTCTCTTCATCTGTTCCCAAACCCTTTAATTAATCCAAAGAACACAGAAGAGTGATGAGAAAAAACCCTTAATTTAAACAAAAGAACACAGAACACTTGAGAAAAAAACTTAAAAGAAAACAAAACACTTGAAAAAAAAATAATAATTTAAACTAAAAACACACAGAACACTTGAGAAAAAAACTAAATTAAAAAACAAAAAAAAAAAAAAAACACACAGAATACTTGACAAAAACCCTTAATAAAAAAAAATAAAAAAATAAATAATAATAATAATTCAAAACACTGATGAGGAAAAAACTTAATAAAAAAAAAAAAAAAAAAAAAAAAAAAAAAACACGGAATACTTGAGAAAAACCCTTAATTAAAAAAATAATAATAATAAAAAAAATTTTAAAAAAAAACTCAAAACAGTGATGAGGAAAAAAACTAAATAAAAAAAAAAACAAAAAAACCCCAGAACACTTGAGAAAACAGAGTACTGCAGTTACAGTTCAGTGTTTCCACCAGCAGAGGGCAGTGTCGTCTTAAGTTTCTCACCTTAATAGATCCTCGAATCTCTGAGGCGTCAAACTGGGATGTGCTCTTCATCAGACCCAAGACGACGGACTCCAGAGAGCCGGAGAGCGCCCCCTTCAGAGCCGAGATCATGTCCTGAGAGAGAACACGTTTGTTTGTTTGTTTGTTTGTTAGATAATGGACAAGTCGAAGTATAAATATTTTAATAAATAATTTGAAGTACACACCTTCTTCGCTCTCCTTTCATAAGCAAACGCGATTTCTCTTCTTTGGGAGTAAGTCCTTCTGGTGAGAATGTCGATGATCGTTTGTTCATCCACTCCTGGTGTTCAAGACGGAGAGAGATAAATAAATAAATACATAAATAAATAAATAAATACATAAATAAACAGTTTTAAATCAGATTTAAATCAATGGCATCAGTAAGTCTCCTCATCTCACCGTGTAATAACGCAGGCATCATTATTATTAATATTATAGTATTATATTAATTATTAATATTTATTGGTCCATATTTGACCTTATAACAGTTCAAAGGTGTAAACGTTTAAAGAGCCCATTTTATTAGTACCAAAGTATTTATACTGCATGTCATTTGCTTTGTTCATTCAGATTTACTGGATATAAATTCTGGTTTTAAATCATTCTTAAATAAACTGTACAAACTGTAAACCTCCAGTGTGACACATTTTATTCAAACGAGCCTTTTTATAATATTCAAGAAGCATCAGTTTTATTTACTGCCTTAAATTATGGAGCTGTTCATGTTGGTTAATGTTTTCTCCCTCAAATCTATAGCTTTAAAAACACCATTGTATTTTTCTATTCTATACAGAATAATGAGTCATTGTTGGCATTTTAACATAGTAAATAACAATAAATCAAATAATAAATAATAAACATCCAAAAGTCCATAGTTGTAGAGTAAATTTAGGCTTTCCAAAACATAATTCTCCCAGTTTTTTTTTTTCTTCCTCAATTAAATTTAAGTTCTATGACTTAAAAAATAGCATTGTATTTTTCTTTTGTTTACAGGATAATGAGACATTGTTCGCATTTTTAGCATAGCAAATATAAATTAATCAAAGTAAGTTTAAGCTTTTGGAAACATGGTATTTTTTATTTTTTTTTCCCCCTCAAATTTTCTTAAAAGTATTTCCATAAATTCTGTAACTTAAAAAATGGCATTGCATTTTTTAAATTATATACAGCATAATGAGCCACTGTAGCATTTTAACATATATCATTTATATAAATCAATTAATTAATTAAAAATAAAAATAATAATAATACAGTTTAAAAATCTATAGTTAAAAATCCAAGTTTAGACTTTCTAAAACAAAATGCATTTTTTTCTTCGGCGATTAAATTGAAATTCTCTGCATTGTATTTTTATTTATTCTATTGTATACAGGATAATGAGTCATTATTAACATAGTAATTATCAATTAATACAAAAAATAAATATAAAATTCCATAGTTGTAAAGTTTAAGCTTTCCAAAACACAAATCAATTCTATAACTTGTAATTTTAATTGAGTCATTGTTCGAATTTTTATCATTTTATCATATCAATTATATAAATATCGATTAATCAAAATAAATAAATCCATAGTTGTAGAGTAAGTTTAGGATTTCCACAACACAATGTCCTGGTATGTTTGTTTTTTTTCTTGAGCCGTTCGCGTCCTGCTGAAACTTACACACTCGTTTGTTACTTCAGCTCAGTGTGGCTCAAGATTCAACCCGACCCTGTGACGAGGCTCTGAAACTGGTGATTTTACCCAACGCTGGCCTGAAATACCCCATGACTCAGACGCTCCAGTGGCTTTTATGGAAAATACAAAGTCTGCAAATTGGGAAATAAAAAAAAAGAAAAGAAAAAAAAAGTGAGCATACCTTTAGTTTTGATGGCCGTTTCTATCCTGGCAGCGTCTTTGTCGGGGTCAAAGTCTCGGGCGGGTAACACTGTGGGGTACGTGGGTTCAGCCTAAAAGAGGAAAAAAAAATAAAAAAAATAAAAATTAAAGAGACCATATTGTACTATTTTTCTGATCAGGGTTCCCACTGGTTTTTCACTGACAAATTTACAAAACTTTTCCATGACTTTTTCATGACCTAAAGTGAATTTTCCACTAGAATTGATCAGATTTTTAGGACTAAATATGAAATGTTAACCCTTTCCACTTCAACTTATGGTTTGGAATTATAGTTTTTTAACTTTCAAAATCCTGTCTCTTTCAAAAAAAAAAAAAGGCGCAAACGTTCAGAAATAATCATAATAGTTTAATGAGAACTTAACAGAACGCTGAAGTTGTGTGAAAGCGATACTAAAATTCCATCACTTTTCAAAAACTTTCATTGAATTTACACAATTCCATGGCCTGGAAAATGAAATTTTCGATTTCCATGACTCTTCCAGGATTTCCATGACCGTTGGAACCCTGACATTACGATAATTAACACAAATGACTAGTTTACTAGTCAAGTTCTTGTAACGTGTAATATTTGACACTAGGGGTGTAACGATATCCGAGACTCACGATACGATATCGTCACGGTATGAACCTCACAGTACGATATCCATTGCGATATCGTGGGAAAGCTCACGATTAAGGATGTAACAATATCCAAATCTCTCTGTATGATATTTTCATGATGTACATCTCATTTATAATATTTATTGCAATATTTTGTAGAGAAAAAACTGTTGATATTCTTATTTTTCCTGCCTTGACAAGACTTAAAAGTGTTAGAACTGTTATTTCTTCTTGTCGTCTGCACTGAAATGGAGCAAAGGATCATGGTCTATGTAGTTCTCTGTCTTTTTTTTATCTATTGCTGCACCAGAACTCTTCATTTAAGCAAAGAGACTTGTGATTCGATATATTGTGATGGTCCATGATATTATTGTGAGAACTTTGACGATACGATATCACGATATTTCAGTTATTGTTACATCCCTGTTTGACACTATGACTACAATGACTTGGCAAGTTTTCTGAAGGACTTAAATGATTTGGTAAAAAGACCAAACTAATTATTCACAAGTAAGAACTGATAAATGGAAAAATATCATTTATGTTCACTTTTTAAATTGTTAGTTTAGGTTTACAGTGTGTATTTGCGTGAAAGAGATATTAAAATTCCATCACTTTGCCAAAACTTTCATTGAATTTACAAAATGGCATGACTTTTCCAGGCCTGGCGAATGACATTTTCAATTTCCAGGACTTTTCCAGGATTTCCATGAAGGCGTTAACCCTGTGTAATGTCGTTTCCTCGTCACAGACACGCCTGGAGTTGTGTTTTGTGTTTTTTTTCATTCTCACATGTTTAACACACAAACCCTGCAGATTCAGAGTTCAGAGTTCTTCTCTCAAACAGAAAACAATCGGCTCCACCTTGTGATGTCATGTGGTGATACAGGAAGTGCTCCACCGTGTTTTTTTTGTCTGTTTGTTTAATTAAAGACAATAGAATATAAAATTTAACAAAATACAATAATTACATCGAATATAAAACAACAAAACACACAAATATAATGACTTTAATAACCTTATATTTATATTTTGTCCAATTTATAACTTAATTTCCTTTTCACTTTCCCTCTTTTTTTTTTTTTTTTTCTTCCTATTTTTTTTAATCCGCTGTGTCTTTAACTAATTCCTTTGCACCTTCACTAGAATAATTTGGATGCTTTTAGGATTTCAGCCTGGAAATTTAACATTTTTACTGAACTGCAAAGGTAAAATGTAGCTGCAATCTTGAAAAAAATGACCACTTAATGACATCACAAGGTGGAACAGAGCGTTTGGAGCTTTAGAGACGTAGACAGACTAATGAAAAATGATTTTAGAATGAAACAAACACAACTTTAAGCACGTTTTTGAGGAGGCAACAGCATTTTATAACATGTTTTAAAGCTTATGAGAGTCAATTTTGCGTAATAGAAAATGTTTAAATGCTTAATGACACAAATAAAGACAAATATTATACTTTACCCCGACATTAAGCGTGAGCTGACCCAAGAATTCAGAAACCATCGCCATTGTGACTGATCTGAAAAGAGAGAGAACAGAAAATGTGAATGAAACTTTTTCTTTTCACAGAACTGTAAGAGCGGAGAGCGAAAAGTGAAGTCTGGGGGCATATTTACTCAAACTGAAGATAAGATCCGACTGTGGTGACAATAAACTTCAAGATTTAAACTGTTGGAATCACAAACACTGCCTGAACTTGGCTCATTCAAAGCTCCGTGCACAGGCTCCCACACACAAAAAAAGCAGAGCCACACCCTGAGACTAGAACTACATGCTGCACAATTACACAACTCTGAGAAGAACAAGTCTGCGTTTCCTTCTCACACACTTTCTGTTTACATTTTTACCCAAAGAACGAACCTGCTCGAGTCTAAATCAAATCACATGCAATAGGAAACGGTGCCAGACATGTCCACTCCCTCTTCACATGATCTCAACCTGATTTTTAAAACGTCCAAAGCAAAAGCAAAGCATTTCTGAGAGATTTTAGTGGTACTTACTTGTGTAGTTAAAGTTGCAAAGAGAAGCTGATTCCTGGAGTGAAAAGTTAAAGGTTGAATGGTGGAAGTTTAAAGCTCTGTTGTGTGAAGAGGAAGACTTCCCCTTACGGGCCCTCCCCCTTTCCATGTGCTCATAACTCCACCCAAATCCACAGGAATCTCAAGACGAGACTCCTACATCGCACTCCCACAGCAGCTTCAAGGTCTGACTCTGTAAAAGTGACTCCTGTGAGGTTTTAGACACGCTATCATTTTTGTTGCCTCACCGAAAACAGACCTGGAGTTGTGTTTTGTTTCATTCACGTGTTTGAGTAACGCTTTATTATCACTTGAGTAACTGTTTATTATTATTTCTCAACACCGTTACTACATCTCCAAAGCTCTGTTCCGCCTTGTGATGTCATGAAGCGGTGGCCGTTTACCTTTTTTTTTCCAGTGGAGATTGGGAATTCCAGGGCTGAAATTATCCAAATTATTTTAATGAAGCAGTACAGAGTGTTTTTGGAGTGAATGAACGTGTGTATGGAGTTTAAAAACATGTAATACTAGGGGTGTAATGAATCCATGTATCATTCGTTCATTCGTTTTTCAAAAATAATAAAACGAAAAAACAACTGTTTTCTTCATTATTTGTCTCCAAAATCAAAATGAAAAAATAGATAATGATTCGTTTTTTCATTTTTCGATTTTGTGTTTAAATGAAAAATGGAAAAGACGGATAACGACCGTTTCCCGTTTACGTGACTCTCGTGACTGCGATGTTGGACCTTTGTGCTGCATACAGACTGAACCAGGACTGATCCAGGTCCGGGACCAGACCAGGACTGAGACCAGGACCCGACCAGGACCAGAGCGAGACTGAGACCAGACCGGGACCAGACCGGAGGCTCAGAGCCCACAGCAAGGCCCCGCAGAGGCTCGGAGTCAAAGCTCGGAGTCCTCTCTGATCCCGGTCTCAGTCCCGCTCTGGTCCCGGTCTCAGTCCCGGTCTGGTCCCGGACCTGGATCAGTCCTGGTTCAGTCCGTATGCGGTGCAACATCACAGTCACAGAAGTCACGTAAACGGGAAACGGCCGTTATCCGTTTTTTCCATTTTTTATTTAAACACAAAATCAAAAACTGAAAAAACTAATCATTATCTGTTTTTTCATTTTGGTTTTGGAGACAAATAATAAAGAAAACAGTTGTTTTTACGTTTTCTTATTTTTGGAATGAACCAATGACACATGGATTGTTCTGCTCCACCTTGTGATGTCATGAAGCTTTTTTCCAGACGAGATCGGGAATTCCAGGGCTGAAATTATCCAAATTATTTTAATGAAGCGGTACAGAGTGTTTTCGGAGTGAATGAACGTGTATATGGAGTTTAAAAACATGTATTACTCGGGGTGTAACGATATCCAAGTGTCACGATACGATATCGTCACGGTATGAACGTCACGGTACGATATTTATTGCGATATCGTGGGAAAGCTCACGATATGACTGGGAGGCTCACGATATTATGGTATTATACATAATAACAAAACTGACATTATAAAATGCTTTGACCAGTCATTTGGTAAAACATTTATTGTCATGTTCTAGAGATGTAACGATATCCAAATCTCGCAGTACGATATTATCACGATATGCATCTCACAGTACGATATTTATTGAAGAGGCAACTATAACTGTAGATGGGACACTTTTTTGCTTTTAAAATACCTTGACAAGATTTTGGTGTGAATTATTTCCGTCATAATCCCAAGAATTCAAGTAAAAAACCTATTTCTTCATCTTGTTACCTGGTCCCCGAAGGGTTGACCAGATTTTGTATTCACCCGGTGTGTGTTTATGGACCGACTGTCACCAAATTTGGTCCGTGGGTGAAGCCCTCGTGCCCGATGCCACAAAAAAAAAAAAAAAAGTTTGGTGAACGATCCGAGGTCATTTGAGGTCACACGAGTCAATTGAAAGGTCATGTCATTATAAAGGATCAGCAATTTCAACATCTGCGGCCTAAAATATTCACCCAATCATCACACAAGTTGGCACACACATAACCGGGGCACACTGGATGTTACAGGTTCAAACCGGTCAAGGTCACTAAGGTCAAATATGCGTTTTTGGTCATAACTCCACGAAGGATCGAGCTCGAGCGACGGGAGTGTCTCAGAATTATAAATAGATACTAATTTTTCTGAGATTCTATGCATTTGTTTAGTCAAATATTAATAGTTTTCCAGATAATCACTAATTATAACAGTTCCTTTCTCTTTCAGTGTAGCCGTTAAAATTGTAATTGGAACAAAAATAATTTCCTTTTCTTGTTTTTCTGGTGAAACACAACACACTGATCTACAGTCACAAAACTAACATACACACAACTCATGAAAAATGACATTTGACACACAGAGATTCTCACGTGTGACCAACATCACACACATGTTCATGGGCCTGTACACATACACACACTGTGGATATAATGATCATGTGATATGGACTGGGCTCCTCATAAACTGCTTCTGTGGTGATGAACTGAACCACTGATGCCTCATGGGGACCAGGTTGCTATTTCTGATTGCGCTTGTTTGCACCGAAATGAATCATGGGATATGTAGTTCTCTGTGGTTTTAAAAGAATGCATTTAAGCAAAGGAACTTGTAATTCGATATATTGTAACGGCCAACGATATTATTGTGAAACATTTGACGATACGATATCACGATATTTCGGTTATTGTTACATCCCTATGTATTACCGCACAGTGTTGGGGAGTAACAGATTACATGTACCGGAGTTACGTAATCAGAGTATAAATTATGAGTAACTGTATTCAGTTACAGTTACTGTTTCAGTGAGTGGTGATTGGATTACAGTTACTTTGTTGAAATAAATGGATTACACAGAGGGATTTTCCTGTTTTCACATTTTGGGCTAAACCTGGACAAAACCAGGTCAAAACCAGGACTAAACCAGGAATAAACCAGGATTAAACCAGGACTAAACCGGGACTAAACCGGGACTAAACCGGGACTAAACCGGGACTAAACCAGGACTGAACCGGGACTAAACCGGGACTAAACCGGGACTAAACCGGGACTAAACCGGGACTGAACCGGACTAAACCGGGACTAAACCGGACTAAACCGGGACTAAACCGGGACTAAACCGGGTCTAAACCAGGACTGAACCGGGACTAAACCGGGACTAAACCGGGACTAAACCGGGACTAAACCGGGACTAAACCAGGACTAAACCAGGACTAAACCGGGTCTAAACCAGGACTAAACCAGGACTAAACCGGGACTTAACCGGGTCTAAACCAGGTCTAAACCAGGACTTAACAGGACTAAACCATGTCTCCTCTTCTTCTATCAATAATATTTTTTTATTTGGTTGAGTAAAGTCTGGGCTTTTATTTTCTTTTTAAAAGTTTAAAAGTCACCTTCCCAACACTGTTACCGCATGACATCACAAAGTGGAACTGAGTATTTTCTGTGCTTAAGAACTAAAGAAGCTAAATCTGTGCAGGGTTTGTGTGTTAAACATGTGAATGAAACAAAACACAACTTCAAATCTGTTTGTGACGAGGAAACAATATAAATAGATCAGAAAATAGCGTAATTTGGGCTCTTTAAGAAAAAGTACTGATGTGAAAGTGTTCAAATATTTAACATTTTATTTGTTCAAAAGAGTTTTATATTTAATTACTATTTACAGAAAACACACAGTCATATTTACATTTAGAGCTCTACATAAACGATGCCACTGGGGAATAAGTTTTAACCTGAGTCACTGTAAACAAAGAAAAGAGTTTTCTGTTCTCATCTTTTAAAGTTGGGAGTGTGTTTGTTCTTTGACTTCTTCTTTTTGCGTTTCTTGCCTCCAGGTGGTCCTCCTCCTCCTCCTCTGTTGTTCCAGTTGAAAGGGCGTGGTAGGGTCACTCCTTTTTGGGGCTAAAAAAACAAAAACACAAACACACAAACAAACGCATGAGCTCAGAGTGAACACACACACACACACACACAGGTCCTGCTCTCCTGACTCACACTCAGACACGCTTCTCCCGGGGTAAAGGACGAGACAGGAATCTGATGAATGTCCAGAGTAAACTCCAGTTTGTTTAAATGCATGAACAAGTTTCACGAGTGACTCTTTCGGCGCTCGTGCTCGTGTTCTGGTTTAACCTGTCGACGAGAGCTGGGGGCTAAGACTACAGACAGCCCAGGGATTCTATTACCTTATGTGTCTCTGTGTGTGTCTCTATGTGTGTCTGTGTGTGTGTTTGTGTTAGCTGTGACAAAGAGAACACACCGGCGTGAATTCTTGAGGGGGAAAGGTGCAGGGAACTCGGCCATGTTTGCGGTGGAAGGGCAGGCAGACTGATGGGTCCAGGGGTACCCAGGGAGCGGGCGCGTTGGCGGGGGGCTGGGGGACGGGGCCGTGGACCTGCTGCAGGTTATAGACGCCCGGTCTGCCATTGCCCTGAGCGGCCTTCAGTATGTTCACAAACGGCTCTCCAACCTTGTGCCGGAGCAGGTACTGCCCTTCATCTAACCTGAAACGAGTGAACACAACATCTCATCTAACCTGAAACAAATGAACATCTTTTACACTTCATGTGACGGTGGGACACACTGTGAGCCTTTTGAGCAAATGAGAATATGACTACGCTCAGACTGCAGCCCGAAGTGACCCAAATCTGATTTTTTCACCCCTTTTGCTCCTGTATCTGATCTTTTAATGACAGTCTGAACGACACAGATCCGATTTTTTTCAAGTGCGACCTCGGACACTTTGACATGTGCTCCTAAAACCGATACATATCCGATCTTTTAACGACTTCACGATCCACCTACACGTCAGGCTCGGAGTCTCGTCAATGGAAGGAAAGCGAGGTTAAAGAGGGGAATCGCTGTATTCAGGACAAATTGGAGGCGTCTTATTGGAACTGGGCGGTTTTTGTCAAAGAAATGTCCGAGCACGGCTACATTCGGTCCTGACTCCAATGTCAACGAAAAATAAAGATCCTGCAAGAAAATACAAGGAGGATAAAGACTCAAATCTGTCCATGTTATGAAGAACTGGACCGTATTTTGGAAGACCTAACCCTAAGCCCAGAGTTTAGGCGACTTCTGTAAACACTGAGCACATTCGCGGCGTGTGACGTCGTCGTGTCCTCCAATGCTCATGCGAGACACTTTTGGGGCATTTAAAGTTCAAACTAAAGATCACATAGCCTGATTCAACAGCCGGTTTCACTTCGTAGAAACCGTCTGACCTCGCAGCATTATAATTTGTTCGCTCGACGGTAGACGGGTGCTTTTTTTATTTAACCAATCGCTGCTATTTGGTCGTGACGCTAACGGGGTTAACTGGTATATTAAGCTTTTCCCAAATCCTGTAGGAAGAAGGACTATAACAATAACTTTCCCCTTGATAAAATTCACCAAACATTCTCTTTGTTCCGGCTTTAAATCCTCAATCTCGAGAATTGTTGCAAACACAGAATATATGGCTCTTCGCTGATTGGCTGGTGCCCTGACTCGCACTTCCGGGGTTTTTGCGAAAACACAAAAAAACAAAACAAAATAAATCCAAATTGAGCATTAAAGGTTGTATAGAGGATTTTCCAAGGAACGAGAAATCCAGCGACTGTTTGTCCTTTTTCAAATGTTGCGCATGTGAGAAACAGAAACAGGAGAACGAGCCTACAGGAGAAGAGAGAGAGGTGGAGGAGCGGGTGAGCGGAGATTTCGTTCGCGGACGAGAAGTGAGGAGCAGGGGAGAGAGCGGATCGGCAGCGGGGAGAGGAGCAGGAAAGGGGTGCAGAGAGAGTTGCGCGGAGATTCAGTGCGAATGAACTAGCTACAACACGCAGCAGCAAGCGGACTCTTTCTTTGCCTTGAAAATTACGTTTTCAGACATAGGATATCACTTTCGTGTCCTGAAAAACGTTTGTCTCGCTCTTGGAAATAAAGTACGTTTTCATAATAAGCAGAAGTTTCCTGTCCAGGAGTAATTTGTGGACCAGTGTGTCAGTCTTTAGACCCTGCGTCTGCTTCAGTTGCGCCATCGCTGGAATGAATCTACAAGAATCACCTTAGTTTGGCTTCGCTGCTTTTCCCCTTGTCTTCTTCTTTCAGCGACCTCAAAAACGGACTTTCTTTTGCGGCGAACTGCTCCTGGATTCTTGTCGCCATTGCAACAAACTTTGTGGACTGCGTGACAGGCGAACGTAAACCACGTACCGGCGGCGCAGGCAAGTCAGTTACGCTAGAAACGTAGGGAGTTTGATTGACAGCCTGTCAGCTCACAGATAACGAGGCAGTGTCGTTATCTATTGGCAAATGTTTAGCCCCACCACGTCCAGAGTTGATGAATTTTTATTCTCTTTTTTTTGGTCATCATAATTACAAGGCTACTGCATCTCTATAATCTATCATTGACAATTTGAAACAAAAAAAATCCTCCATACAACCTTTAAGAGCCTGCAGTCTGAATGTACCCTATGAGAATCAACAGTCCCACAGACAGTAGGTGTGTCCAAATAAAAGCTGCTATGTTCCCACTGTCATCACACTTGTAATCATTCACAAAACACTATGGTTTGGTCAGTAGATGGTTAGAACTTACACACATTTTTACTCACTGAATCAACTCACCCAGTTAACTTCTGCAGAAGATGATGAAGGATGTTGAGAGACTTTGCAGGCCTGTTGATCAAATCAGACGTTACATATACACTATAGTATTAACTTTAAAAATAAAACAACAAGTTAGAGCAGGTTCGATCTGGTTTTGACTTGAAAATTGTGAGGTGCACACACAGACGGGGTTTTAGGGTGCGTCCACATTTGCCTGGTTTGATCCTGGCCTAGTCCTGGTTTAGTCCTGGTCTAGTCCAGGATTAGCTCTGAATTTTTCCAATTAAAAGGTCCTATATTACGAAAATTGTACTTTTGTGATCTTTAAGCAGTGTTATAATGTTGTTTCCTCATCACAAAACAGACCCGGAGTTGTGTTTTCTTCCTTTATTATTAGTCTGTTTACATCTCCAAAGGTCAAAATGCTCTGTTCCACCTTGTGATGTCATGAAAACGTGTTACCTTTTACCTTTAGTTTAGTAAGTTGGGAAATTCCTTAAATGATCCAAATGATTCCTGGATTACAACATGACATCACAAGTTGGAACAAAGCCGCTTCTGTTTGAGAGAAGAACTCAAAAGTCTAAATGCGCAGGGTTTGTGTGAATGAAACAAAACACAACTCCGGGTCCGTTTGTGACGAGGAAACGACATTATAACGGCTCAGAAAACAACGTAATAAAGGACATTTGAATCCCAGTTTTGATGTGGTCTGTGTGCACGTTCACAGACCCGCCCTAAATGTGCTTTTTCCACATAATCATGCAGAGACGAGTCCAGACTGAGCCAAGATGACGTAAGAAGACAAATCATTTTGAATATCTGGCACATTACCACAAACACGTTTACGCTTATTGACAAAGATCTGTTGAAGCAGAACCACAGACTGTATAAAGAAGTGGACCGAGCGAGTGTGACGTCACCTACAGCGTTCGGCTCGAGTCAAATGCAGCTCACCGAGGCTTGCAGTTAATGGGGCGAAGTTAAATTTTAGGAATAGGAATTGATTTGCAAATAAGATAAAGAAATAAAAACACCAGGATCATGTAGAGTGGGTTAATACGAACATTTAAAGACCAAAATGACGAGGTTCACAGCAGCGGTTACAGAAAGAGGGGCCACAATTTTTCAATGTCAATGTTTCAAGTCAATTGGAATCAGAGGCGATGGATCCGGAAGAGCCCCCATGTTCACTTCGAACATGGCAACTATGTCCATTTCTATACAGTCTATGGGCGCGTCTCGTTTTTCATTCCCCGCGTCCTTCTCCTTGATTCCTTCTCCTCGATTCTGCAGGAAAACGGTGAGGAAGAGAGGCTATAAACTCCTCACGCAGACCAATTAAGTTTGATTCTTTTATCTGGTGTCTGCTCCTGAAGCCTCCCTCAGGTTTGGACCCCCTGGACCCTGAACCCCCGCCTTCCAGTTCTCATACTGAGCCAAATGTTCCACAGAAGATGTGATCTGCTCTACCCTCACCCATCTGGACAATAAAGACCCACATGTGAGAAAGCTGTTCATAGACTTCGGTTCAAGTCACCCCACACACAATCTGTTCAGCCTCCTGTCGTCTGGAAGGAGGTACAGGAGCCTCAGTTCCAGCACCACCAGGCTCACTAAGAGCTTCATCCACCAGGCTGTTAGGATGCTGAACTCTCTCCTCTCTCTAAACACCAGGAGGCCAGGAAGCTACGAATCTACATCACCCCAAAGAAGAACACTTGGGCTTGGACCATTTACCGTATTTTTCGGACTATAAGGCAGACTCAGAATCCTTAAATTTTCTCAAAAATCGACAGCGCGCCTGACTTATTGAAACCGGTTGTGCTTACAAAGCTCGAACCGATTTTATGTGGTACACGGTTTTAGTACGACTACGAAGCCGCACCGTTTGATGAATTGTCGGAGCATTAGGGCTTCCGTAGTCAGGAGTCTTGCGGAGTAACACTTTCACCAAGACAGGGAAGCAATGCTGGCAGAGTTATGCCACGATCTGCCGATGGATTGTGGATGCTTGGGCTAAGGGATCAGACTCAAGTGTCGTCCGAGCTTTCACGAAGGCCGGAATTATCACGGAACAGCGAAGAAACAGCAACGAGACTGACTCTGATGCTGTAATCCCCCAACTAAACTCAGACACTAAAGATTAAGAATTTGATGGATTTGTGGAAGAGGAACGAACTGAAAAAGTGAGTGTATTGTTTTGTATTTTCTGTCTTACAACTAAACAATGTTGAGAGTTTTTGTGAATGATCTGAATAAAGTTTGACCTATCTGACTGTTTCGTTTCGCTTAATGAGCCTTACAATCCGGTGTGCCTTATAGTCCAAAAAATATGGTATTATTATTTATTTATTTATACGCTTGGGAGTGAGAAACACAATTTCGATTCTTCATATTTCGTATAAATAAACTTTTTTGAATTTGAGGTTTACTCCTTTCTTCCGTCCATGTTTTTTTCTTTGGGACACCGCTTCAGACGACGCATTTGTTTGACTCTTCGAGGAGAGGAATCGAGGAGGAGGAATCGAGGGAAGAGAAACTGAGACGCGTCCAATGAGCGGCACTCACTTGAAGCCACAGGAGACGTTGTGTATCCAGTCGTCTGGCAGCTTCCTCAGCAGTGCCAGTCTGGATGTGAGGGCATCGATGTGAGCTGCGGGCACAAACAGCTCGTTTACACACAGCCCCCTCTTCACTGACGAGCTTTACACAGTCATTAGTCTGACGATTAGCCGCTCGATGGAGGCTCAGAGGGAGAAGTGCCTCTGGTCCTTTCTCACACTTCAAACACTAACGCTGCTTTCGATTGGCACTTTGCAGCGGATGGCATCAACATTCCCCTGGGGGTGTGACGCTAACTGAAAGCACTGCTCTGTCTGAAGCTCTCTTAATCAAGTTTTAATCTTTAATCTGATCTTTTCACACAGTCTGAGCATCTGATTTAGTGATAATTACTAATGATTCTCTAATCTCCTCTAATTTGGTGGGGTAATTACTGAGTAGAGGTCTGGGGAAATTCTTATAAAAGTAACAGTAAAAACAGCAATACAAATAGGCGAGTTTCATTGTTGACAAAAGCGCGCGTTGCATGCTGGGAATTATTTTGGTC